CAGATTATTTAAATTCAATGTTCTTTTGCCTTACATTCAAGTATGAATAAAATCAATTGATTCACAAAATGCTCATAAAAATAAAAGTGCGTATTTAGTACTTACATCAAATTGAAGCATAATATGGATGTTTATACGCATTAAAGTTGAATTATAATATAACCTATTAAAGGATTTAATATAAATGGCATTTTTATTTATATATTTTAATTTTAATGAACGTACGGCAGTCCTGTTGACAAATTCATGAATTTTAAAAATGCATTGCAAGATCTTAGTTTAAAAAACCACTGGAAAGTATTTATTTACTTACACGAATGAAAAACATCAGCATAAGATATATTCTCTTTGTACAAAAAACAACAAAATACTTGTTTACAAACAGGCTTGAGAAAAGATGCGCTTGACTTAAGAATGCGAAAATCAAAAGAGCAACTTTTTGTAATTTTTAGGAAAATAGCTTTGGGATGTTTTTGTTACCAACACAAAAGAGTTTTTTTTTGCCTTTTATATCTTTTATATTTGTATGATGTGCAAGCAAGAATTTGAGATGTTACGACATATTATTTAATATAGCACTTCTTTGAAGAGAAACACGAGTGCACAGAAACACGGTTTTGAGTATTTTTTGCACATTATTTTTTAAGAAAGAAAAAGTAATAATTTGCATTTAAATTTAGCCAATAACTGTTCATTGTAAAGCCTGTTAATTAACACATTGAATGCCATAGACAGAACAAGTTAATAATATAATAGCATTGATGCCATAAGTTCATGAACATAAAAGAATTCCATTTATTTTAAATGTGTATTGCTGTCATTAAGGAAATTGTAAATTGCTTATTTAATAGTAATATCACAGCAGAAAAGAATGAAAAAAATGTGTAACAAGAAGAAGGAGATGAAAAAGATGACGAGAGCATCGTGGTTGAAGCGGTGTGGAGAGAAAATTGAAGTCATTAAATATTTATTTGATTCACCCCAGGAAAATGACGAAAGCGACAGAAGAAACAATGTGGTTTTTCGGTGTAAAAGCTAAAGATGGGAGCTAATGGAATCAAACCGCAATAGGTAGAAGAAGATCATCATTTATGTATAGTGGTTTTCTTGTAAATCTATTTTGTTAATAGATATGGCAGTTCATTATACTTCACAATTTCATTGATAAGAGTTTTCTAAGCTTTAAAATATAGTTTAAATACTCTGCCTGCTCCTATGTGAACGATTTTCTCATTGGCTTATTATAACATAACCTTTTCTGTTATCAAATTCATTCCCAATATGGTTCGCTACGTTTACAAAAAGGGAACATTAAAAAAAGAGAACGAGAAAAAAAATCCAAAATTCAATTGATTGGAAAAAATTGCATTTATCTTAATGTTAGCACTCTTTCACTCAATGAAAGACAATGACAATATGTGTAGGATCCTTAAAAAGATAGATAGGAACAAAAATATACATCTATATATAATACGACAAAAATACAATACATAAACAAATTTTTATATTCACACCGTTTTCAAGTGTGAATCTATTGGTTTTGTGTAGATTGAAAAATCAGTTTTTCGCATTTTGTGAGAAAATGAAGCAAAATTGTTCATAAAAGATCCGAGAAGAAAAGTTTTTGCCTGAAATTTTGCATTATTTGCAAAAACAGATTTTAAATTGGTTGCGGCATTGCTGAGAAAATAGCAAAATACGCTTTCTATTAGAAAGCAAACAAGCATGCAAGTTAATCAGCAAGAAATCTCAATAACGAGACATCGTAGAGACTTCTAGTTTTTTTAAAATTTGATCCGTGATGCTCTATAGAAGAGCTGTATTGTTTTTGGGCAAGGTGGGAACAGCCGTTGCTTCAGAAAAATCAAAAAAACCTTCCCTTCTTAAGAATTTTTTAAAACGAAAAATTATTTTAATTTTTATATAAATTAAACTTTATATAATTTTTTTTAAACTTTGTCAAGCCATATAAAGAAACTATATTTAATAAACTATAAACAAGCTATAGCTTCAAACTTATTCTGAGCAAATCTTGGTCTATCCACAAGACTTTTGATGGTACGGTGTGAATATATCCGGATTAGGTTTCTACCCGATACACTAGTTTGTTTATGCTTCTATATGTTTTCTGCTATTATTTTTTATAAGTAAAAGGATTTTCTTAAATCAAAAGTCGTTAGGAGTCATTTTTTTACAGAAGGGAGAAAGAATAATGTTTATTAGATGTTTAAGTAAGTTGAAGGAAAGTAGCTCCTAACCTTAGCTTTCATGAATAATAGCATCATTTTATACTCCGAATCAACTCTCAAGTGTTTTGGAATTTTTTCTCTTGGTTTCTTTTTCCTCCTCCATCAAAGCGATTCACTTGACATTTCGCGATTTGAGCTAGGCTTTCTGTTGCTACAGCTAATACTGATGCTCATTTCATTTTCACCCAACGATTCCCATTGTGAATGAATGAAATAAGAAAGAGAAGATTAATTTGGAGACATTAATTTTCCAATTCTTTTCCTTCTTACAATGATTTCCTTTTAACAAAGGAGATCATTTTTCGCATTTTTGGTTCCATTCTTCATAGAAAAGTAAAAATGGAATAAAAATAAAATAAAGAAATACTGCATAATAAATTTTCTTTTTTCGATTCGTATAATATGAAGACATCTTAATTTTATATAAGTTTTTATACATATTAAACCCGGACGACACAAAGTTCCGCTTGTAATTCCCCCATAAGTTTTTGTTGCATAAACATTACACGAGTAAGTTGTGTTACTCGGGAAAATGTATATACTCATTAAATTCTAAAAAAGAAGAGTGTAATCCTTACTATAGTTTCTCTTAATTTTTCATTTTGCGAAAACTTTATTACAAAATACAAAAAATATATTAAATTGTTTTTTCTCAATTCTTTATAATGTCTTGTAATCAAATAAGAAAATATTGTTTAAATTAGTTAAAAAAAATAGTAAAAACATTAAAAATATGTGAGTCGACTTGGTTTCGAGCTCTGGTTTTTATTTGCCATCAAGAAAGATTTTTAAGCTTTTCCAAGTATAATATGGATATTGAGCATTGAAAAAAATTGTTGGGATCAAACTGGTGATTTTTCGTTTGTGTATAGAGACTTTTTATGCAAATTGCTTGGGAATAACATTGTTTTTACTAGCGTTACAGAGTTATGTTATGATTCCATATGCTTCACCATATGATTCTAGAAATGGTGTAAAATTGTAGGGTTCTAAAGGTTGAAATTTTTTTTTTGGAACTGTATAACTTTGATAAAAAAATTATTTTAATGATTAATGGTGGGTTTTGAGATAAGAAAATCATAATAATGGGATTTAAAAAAGACTTAAAATTTAAAACGTAATTAAAAATTGGCGAAAGTCCTCGTGTTATATATCGAGGGACTTCAGCGCATTTTTGTGTTAGCGATTAGTAATTGATAGTCTAATTATTTTGCGTTCATTTACAGATCATTAGAAGATTAGAAAGTCATTAATTTTAGTGCAATTAACAAATAATTACAATGAATCCTTACATAATCATTTAACGGGTTTTTGAATTTTAAATTTTCTAACCGTCAATAAATGTTTGAAATTATAGAGGTAATATTGAAATTATAGAGGTGGTCAAAAATTTGAACAGGTTACACTCTATGAAGAAACATTTTCACAGGTTGCACTGCATTGAAATTGAAAAAAAAACATAAATTATAGTATTTAACGATGGTTTTGAGCTTTCAAACTGATCGATGCGCCAATAACTCGATAGAACCGAGCTAATGTAAAAAACTAGAACTCTCTACGATGTCCAGATCAAAAGTTTTTGCAAGCAGCCAAACAGCCAGACGAACAAATCGTATTATTAAGCTACCTTTTCGAAAACAAGTTTTCAAAAATGCGCTAAAAATTGTTGATTAGACTTTGATGATTTTTTCAGCTTTTGATACAAGTGTAGCTAAATTTTCGCTAATGAAGAAAACATATGCTTAATCATTATCATGAATTTTGAAATTTCTTTTGAATCGTTTATTTTGTGTCAATAAAATTTTATTTCATGAAAACTGTTTTATTTGTAATCATAGGTTTGCTGCATATATGACATACTCATATAAAATAAGAGCAATGTGTCATATGGAAACATTCCTGAATAAAAAGACGAAAAAAAAACAAACTAGAATAAATGTGTTGAAAGAAATGAAATGAACGTTTTATATATAAAGCATGAAAGAGACATCATTAAATCAGCACTAGGTTACCTGAACAGAAAATTTAATGTGTTGCGGTTCTAAAAGTGTGGCATGGCGGTTGAAAGCATATGAAAATAAATTAAATTTCATGGTGAAAGAGCAAATCAAATCAATTTAAATTGAAAGAGACATAAATGGGATTTTCTGTTTTTGAAAATGGCTCACAAAGTTTATGTCAACATAGAGAGATAGAAATACAGAATAAAGAATTTATATAGATACTATAGCTACAATTTTTTCCTTGCTCATCCTCTCTCTATTTTCACATCTTCCTTGTCTTCCAATTGAATGAATGTAGTATAGGTAGATTTCAAAGTGAATGAAGTTACGTCAATAATCGAATTAGATGAAAATTGTTTCTATGTATGTGGATAAAGCTCTCTATATACCAAAGTATGTTGAAAATATGAAGTGACAGATAATTTCATTTCAATGTCCATTTGTGGTTGTTATTTTATAATGCTTGAGACACATTCATTCATTTGAGATTGATAACGAATAGCATTTTGCTATTGGGTGCTAAGCATTTGTATACTTGTGCTTGCTCTTGAAAAAGTATATGCTTTTAAAATGCAAAAAAATATAGATATCAACTAGAAGTATATAAATTCATCATGTGCTATTACTTCAAGTTTTAAACAAACAATTATATTTTTATTTGCATCATAAACAAACATTAAAGTGAGGGAGAACTTCCGATAACCATTTATCAGAAACTATAAATTGCTTGTAATTGCCTGCATTTGACATCAGTTTGTGAAATAAAGATGTGGATTTTCTTTAATATTGTGATATTGACAGTGTACTGTTTTACATTCAGTCATGGTGTGGTTCAATTTTCCTTAAATTTTGCTCGGTCAACAAACAAAGTTGTGGTCATTGATCATTATTATATGTTAGAATATTCTATATATAGAGGTGTGTTTTGGTACTTTTTACGAATTGTAACTAATAAATGATAAATATTTAAAAAACAAAATAAATCAATATTTCATTAAAATTAGATGGCGAACGTTTGCAGTCTGTAGTATTAGGTACTGGACTTGGTGGTTATATAAAAAGTCGTAAAACTGGTAGTGGTTTTGTCCTTTATGGCCGAGGTGATGAAATAGAATTTTCGATTGAAGTGGATGACTCTAAATTTTCTCAATTGAGCATAAGTAGGAGAAATATACAGTAAGTGCTGTTCAGATTGTAAAGTAAAATAATACTAAATTAATCCCAAAAACCTTAATATGAGAAACCTAAAATCTTTTTAAATAAAAAACATAATAGAAAATCAGTGAGTGATTGCATAGATTTAGCTTCTGAATCTGATGTTCATTGGTACGGTGGAAATCAGCAACGTTGGCAATATTATCCAATTCAAAAGTTAGTTCATAAACACAATGCATATGTCACAAAGGAAGAGTTCAATCAGGCAATTGCGGAACGTTATTGGTTTAATTCACAAGGAATATTTTTTTACGTTAACCTTGATGCACCGCTTTTTATCGATCAAAATAATCAACATCCTGATTTCATGTGTTTGGAAGCAAAACGTGCACTGCCATATGATATATATCATACCAGATTTGATTTCACGTATCACATAGGTATAGGATTAAATGCGCGTGATGTGCATATGAAAGCAGTAGAATATTTTTTGGGAAAGCCTTCTGGTCATCCAGCTCTAGAAATGGTACGCGATCCAATATGGAGCACGTGGGCTCGTTATAAGACGAATGTAGACGAAGCAACTGTAAGAGTTTTTGCTAACGAAATTCTCAGTTATGGTTTTAATGGACAATTCGAACTTGATGATGACTATGAAACGTGTTACGGGGCACTCGAATTTCGACAGTCTAAATTTCCAAATATTAAAAATTTGACAGATGATTTGCATGCTGTCGGTTTTCGTGTAACCTTATGGGTTCATCCTTTTATTAATAAGGACTGTAAAAACTGGTTTGAAGAGGCAAAACAAAGCAACTACTTTGTAGCTGATCATAGCGGCAATATTGAAACACAATGGTGGAATAGTGAAAAATCTCAAGCTGCATACATAGATTTTACAAAAACTGCTGCTGCCGATTGGTACTACAACAGGCTAAGGAGTTTGCAAATAAGCGCTGGAATTGACAGCTTCAAGTTTGATGCTGGTGAGTCGTCATGGGTACCAATCGATCCTGTTTTGAATGGAACGGCTAAAGAGCATCCATCAAAAATAACAAGTGCTTATGTACGAACAGTGTCCAAGTTTGGTTCACTTGTTGAAGTTCGTTCTGGACAAAACACCCAAGATTTACCAATATTTGTACGAATGATCGATAAAGATACAGAATGGTCTTTAAACAATGGATTGCCAACATTAATTACAACTCTGCTTCAGGTAAGACTATTTAATTCATTCAAATAAATTACAACAAACATAACACTTTTATGTAGATGAATATGGTTGGATATCCATTTGTTTTACCCGACATGATAGGAGGAAATGGCTATAACGATAATAGACCAGATGAAGAAATTTTTGTAAGATGGCTGCAAGCTAATGTTTTTATGCCCAGTTTGCAGTTTTCTTATGTTCCATGGGATTATTTAAGTGGAAGTGTTGATGTAAGAAATTACTGTTTTAATTTTCAATTTTAAGTAATACTAATATGGTATTCATTAGGTTGTTGCGCTATCGAAAAGATTTGTTGATTTGCATGCTGAGTTTACTCCACATATTATGAATTGCTTTGAAAAAGCAGTGAGTATTGGAGCTCCAGTGAATCCACCAATTTGGTGGATTGCACCTAATGATAAAATTGCTCAGAGTATCAGTGATGAATTTTTGTTGGGTGAAGACATTTTAGCTGCTCCAGTAATTGAGAAAGGTTAGTAAAGACCCAAATAATTTCAACATTATAAAGATGTATTATTTTTTGAAGGTGCAACTAGCCGTGATATATATTTACCAGCTGGTGAATGGCTTGACGGAAACACAGGCGAGACATATCGTAGTACAGATGGAATATGGTTACGCGATTATGCGGCCCCACTTACTGTTTTACCTTATTTTATTAGAAAGTAACTACGATTGCGCGAAGACAATATGAATTTTTTGTTTTAAAATTAATTGAACAGAATGGTTTCATTGTTCATTAAAAATTTATTAAGCAAAAAGTAGAGGTTTTTGAGTAAAAGTAGAATAAAAACTTTGTCTTTTAATAGCAAAAACCAGTCTTGATTGCTGCTTGTTTCTGTCGATTTTTTTTACTCTATTCAACTAATTTTTTTATCACGTGTGGAAAATGAATTGACATTTATGTATAAAAAATTGTTTTTCTCTCTTTCTCCCTTTTGAAACATCTTCCTTCCCCTCACCATTACACTTCAAAATATGTATACAAATTCAGAATAAAGGACCAACTTTTGCTATTAATTATTCTTGATATGTATGTTGTAGAGAGCCAGTAAATTGGCAAACATTGTATGTATGTTGAAATTTCAAGAGCTTACGGAAATAGCTTGGCTGACTAAAACTTTTTTCACTATCATCTGTATGCCGCGTTACATGTAAAACGTTGAATGAATGAATGAATGAATTGAATGGGAAGCAAATGTTTGAAAATTTTTGATCATAAAAGTGAATAAAAAAGCGCAACCAAAATATGCATAAAAAGTGCAATAAAAAGTACTCGAATCAAACTCAAATACATAGACTCTTTTTTTTATTCAAAATGGTTTTTTGTTACTCTCGTGGCAAATAACCGCACATTCATTGCTCTTTTAGCTTTGAAATAAATTTTTCGTTTGCTTCATTCTTCTTTCGTTGCATGCATAATTCTTTTTATCCAATGTTTTAGATTCAAATGCTTGAATTCGCTGGAAGTAAGAGAGAAAGAGCCGTAAAGCTCTTCGTTAACCGTATACCGATAACGATTCATTTGATTTTCTGTTTGGCTTCCTCTTGTATGTTATACGGCTCATCTGTTTCATCCTCACTCGTAAAGATTGTCCAAAGTCGCACATTGGAATAAGAGAAAACGGAAAAAGAAAAAGGAAACAAAAATAAAAAAAAAAACTAAAAATCACAACACACAGACCAAAAACTTTTTTTTGACCCGTTTACCGTCGGTTTCCCCTCCTTAGATTGATGAATGATGCTCATGGAATTTTTATGATACTTTCGGGCATACTGCGGCCTTTTTCATCTCCTAATTTTTTTTTAGCTTTATGTGTAACTGGTTTTTGTGGTATATCAAACGATTTTCGATGAGAGGGAAATGGATAAACTAAATTTTTTTTTCTTTCTTTTCTTTTTGTTATACTATTGATAAAAGCTACTTATCCTTATTGAACCACTCTAGAAGAATCCATAAAATTATGTACTAAAATTAAAGAATAAAGTAATATAAAGAATGTTTAACTAAGAAAATAGGTATCATAAACTTTATGGAAGGTATCGTATTTCTAATTTTGCTCTATGATAGTCTCAAAAATGTAATAATTTTTCAATTTTCTTGTCAAATCTAGGAGATTAACTTTAATATTTGCTAAAATTCTCAAATAAATCGAGATTTAAAAATTCTAAGCATATGTAAATTTAAGTAGCAACGTCCTCTCTCTAGATCACGCATTCGATTTCTTGATAATCTTCAGCGCCTGGAGATATTTTGGAAAAATCCACTTTAGTGAAAACGGCCCATTTGATTTTATTAATGTGTTTACAAGTGTCGTATTATTCGTATAATATCATATGTATTAATGTATGTATCGTTATTTTAAGTGATCAAGTAGCAGCTTTTACAACTGTAGATGTAAATAAATTTGTTAATGATTTTGTTGAATAATTAAGTTATATAATATATATATATATATTATATAATATATATATCAATATATATATATTGATCGTAGGAATCTGATTATTATTGTAAATATTGTTATCGTGAAAAGAAGTTTATTTAAAGTTAAATATTCCATTTTGCTATTCTGCAAGGATTAAAATAAAGAATACATTATTACATTTTCCAAGCGGTTATGTGTCTTATCGCAATGAAGTTTGAAAAAGAAGAATCTGCCATGTGCGAGCGATTGAACTGCAAGAATTATCGTGTCTGGGCACTTCAAATGAAGATGATTTTGATCAAGGAAGATCTATGGGATATCATCGTTCCGGGAAGTTCAAATCCAGAGGATGCAGTTAGAAGCTTGAAAGCATTGGCACATATTGTTTTGATGGTTGATAATAATCAACTGGTACATGTTTCGGATGCGAAAGGAGGAAAGGAAGCATGGGATTCATTGAAGAATTTTCATCACAACGATTCAGCTGGACATAAGATGAGACTTTATAAGCAACTGTTCAAGACTGAATTATCATTGGGTGGTGACATGCAGAAACATTTGCAAAAATTGTTTTAAATTTTGCAAAACATCAAGGAATGTGGTGATCATCTTGAAGAAACCATGATTGTGAGTGCTATTTTATCAAGTCTGCATGCTGAATATGATAATTTGGTGACTGGATTAGAATAATGGAAGGAGAAGGATCTAACTGTTCAAAACGCAAGCTGAAACTCATCGATGAATGGGAAGACGGTATGAAAATGTAAGAAAAGGATCTGATGTGTTTTGTATCAATAGAACTGAAATTGATCCAAAGAAGCACATCAAGTGACATCAGTGCAAAACGAGAAGGACATATCAAGCGGAATTGTCCATTGTTGAAGAATGAAACCGTCAAAATAGCAAATTTCAGTGGAGGGCGCAGAAATTGTTACGACCCTAAAGACTCTCAGTGGTGTATTGACTCTGGTGCTTCGTCTCACATGACCTACAGTAAGTCGTTTTTCCTTAGTTTTGATGAAAGTTTTAGGGGTACGATTACGGTTGCTAATGGCGAGAAGGTTGAGTACATAGCGAGGGGATGTTCGTATGAATGTATTTGTAGAAAACAAAAGCTTTAGTGTAGATCTGACTGACGTACTTCTGGTGCCATGCATTGACAGTAATTTGAGCTCTGTCTCAAAGCTCTGTAATAAGGGCTATAATACTATTTTTGATTCAACTGGCTGTTACCTTAAAGTAGAAGGTGTGGAACCATTGCAGATTGCTGAGAAATCAGGCGATATGTATGTTGTAAGAGCTGAAGTTGAAAGATCATGCTTGGTTAATGACAGAGTGGATAGATGCTGTGTACATGAATGGCATCGAAAATTAGCTCACAGAAATTTGCATAATATACTCGCGATGAAGGATAAAGGTTTGAACATTGCCGATTGTGATTGCACAAATGTATGTAAGTCATGCATTCTAGAGAAAATTTCTAGAAATCCGTTTCCAAAGAAGGCAACACCTGTTGAAAATACACTTGACTGTGTAGTCAGTGATATTTGTGGCCCTATGCCAGTTCCCTCAGTCGGAGGATTCCGATATTTTGTAACATTTACAGATGTTTATTCAAAATTTAATGCAGTATATCTTTTGAAAGCAAAGAGCGAAGTACAGTCTAAAGTAATAGACTATTTTGAACTGTTGAATAATATGTTCGGTCGAAAAGTTAAAATGTTCTGTACGGATCGAGGGACGGAATATTTAAGTGAGGAAGTTCATTTACGTTCAGAGGACATTCGCTTTCAGTGTACTTTAGCTTACTCACCGGAGCAAAACGGTATTTCCGAGAGAAAGAATAGGACTTTAGTTGAGGCATGCAGGACGATGCTTACTGAGTCAGGAATGTCACGAGAATACTGGAATGAAACCATAATGAATGCGAATTAATCATTGAATCGTGTTTTGAGCAAAGATGGTTCAAAGTCTCCGTATGAGAAGTTCTTTGACAAGAAGCCAAATTTCTCAAATTTTAAAGAATTTGGAGTTAGTGCTTATGTAATGATTCCTCATCAGAAACGAAAGAAGTTAGACCCGAAGGCTGAAAAACTGGCATTCGTGGGATATGACGGATGGTCGAAAGCATATCGACTTGCAAATGTGAAACAATGGAAGATAATTGTGCACGTGATGTTGTGTTTCTAAAAGAAAAGTTCATGAAGATAAATCAGAATTCATCTCATGAAATGAAAAGAAGTAGCGGTGATTTGGTGCCGTTCCCGTTTTCGTCTGGTTCTACAATTGATGTTCAAACATTCAATGATTCTGAATTGTTTTATGATGCTGAAGACTCTCAAGATGAAAGTGAGGTAGAAGAGCATGAAGAAGAGACAGATCAAGCACATATTGAACATGGAGAATTTGAGAATGACCAAAGTCAGGAAATCATTGTTGATCATAATTTAATCAATGATCAGAACGTTTCGGTTCAGGAGGAGAATGAGAGAAGTGATGAAATCAGAGTATCAAGTAGAAGAAATAAAGGTCAAAAACCAGAACGTCTTGGTTATTTTGTTACTTATTTATCAAGAGTTGATTTTGAGCCTAATTGATGCTGATAAGTGGAAAAAAGCTATGGAAAACGAGATTAAGTCCATTAATCAAAATAAAACCTAGGATCTTGTGAAATTGCCAAAGAATAAACGTGCAATAGGTTGTAAATGGGTTAACAAACTTAAGCGAGATGATAATGGCCAGGTGTGTTCACATAAAACAAGATTGGTTGCTCAAGGATTTTCTCCGAAGTATGGTGAAAATTATGATGAAGTGTTTGCACCAGTGGCTCGACCAGCAACATTTAGGATTCTTATATCGATAGCTGGTGTTAATAATTATCATGTGAAGCAGTTTGATATTAAGACTGCATTTTTTGAATGGTGATATCGAGGAGGAGATATATATGAAGCAACCACCTGGATTTGAGAAGGGAAATGATGCTTGCAAGTTTAGAAAAAGCCTTTATGGTTTGAAACAAGCAGAAAGAGCATGGAATAAAATTTATCATGAAGCAGTGATTAGTTTTGGATATAAGCAAAGCGAAGTTGATAAATGTCTGTATAGCATGAAGAAAGGTCGCATCGAATAATGATAAACTGATAGAACAATTTAAAAATCACATTGCAAGTCTTCTTGAAGTAAAAGATATTGGAAGTGTAAAGCACTTTTTAGGGATTGATGTGAAACGTGATAAAGAGAGATGAGAAGATTGTGGAAGAAGCTGGACTTAATGATGGAAAATTTTCAAAATATGCTTTGATGACTGACTATTTTAGGCATCATGATGAGAATTATTTAGAATCAAATAATGAGTATAGAAAGCTCATTGGTAAACTGTTGTATGTAAGCACAAATACAAGACCTGATATCGCTGCATCTGTTGGAATTTTGAGTCAAAATATTTCAAAACCAACAAAGACTGATTTGATAGAAGCGAGAATTATTCGCTATTTGAATGGTACCAAGAATCTAAGTTTGATGTTGAGTGA